TAAATATATATAAAATGTACAAATACCTGTGTATATGTATACATATGTGTACAGAAAAATATATCCATATCCCTAGCTTTGTGTAAATAGAGTTGGAGGGGAAAGTGAATGCAGAGGTAAGAGGCTATGAGTGTGTTAAAAATGTAAGCTGTCATCCATAATGAATGCACCTGGAAAATGAAGGATTAGGTATGATGAGTGGACAGATAAAAAAGGTTGTTTACAGAAATGTATATAGAGCAACTGTCTGTGAAACATAGCAATCAGAGGAAATTGATGATGTTTGTGCAGCGTATACGTACAACAGATTTCTCTATATGCTTTCTACAAAAATAATAAAGGCACTGATTGGAAAAAGGGTTTGATAACTGCTGTTTTACAAATGTAGCCAACTCTTATTTTCAATCAGGTATACTAAAAGACTTCTAAACAGTAAACTACCAAATGTCCATGGATTTCAAATCTTGCAAGACAGAAACATGTCTTTATCAGTCTGTCGTACTTACGATGGTATTGTGGCAACCAAAAGCTATTTTTGTTTGCATGACACCTATTTTCAAGCAGTAAACGTACGCCAGTCTCACAAATAGGGAACCAGTTCACAGATGGTCACTAGCCCCAGGGCACAGTGGAAGTTCAAGATGATTGAATAAAAAGCTTTCACTGTTCAACATATCGCTGCCCTACACCCCAGGGAAGCTATCTTTAAAGTGTATTTCTCGTGCTTCTGAAGCTAGCACTGTAATAAGCAAGTTCTAATTAGTTTGGAGTCTTGAAATATATAGAACTATTACCTAGAATGTGTGTTGTACTCCCTTTCTTATGTTGAATGGTAGACTCTATTACAAAATACTTATTTTTAAATTATTGGGTTAGTATCGTTTTTGTAAACTGTACTACTATAAATTAGTTGTTTGTTCCTCATACTTCATGCACTTAATCACTGAACTCTTTTAGCAGTTTACAGTGTTGAGTCAATTATAATTCTTTTATCCTTTCAGTTGCTCCACTTTGTTTTCTGTACCATGAACCTTCCAAATTGTATCAGATATTCCGTGAGATGTATGTGCGTTTTTTCTTCAGACTCCATTCCATCTCTTCTCATCCCTCTGTAAGTTCATTAGGAATTAAAACTCACTCACTTGATACTCTGTTTTCTGTGGAACAATAATATACAGTGGCATGATTTCCTATGTGATTGAAATATATCGTTTTAAATAAAATATCTCAGGCAAGCCTGGAAAAATTACTAGGTAACTCCAGTTTGGATATTTTTGGTTTTATTGTCAGTATTAGTCTTTGCTCTAGAATATCATGTACTTACGAGAACTTTATAATTTTAGAGGATGTGGGGTTTTTTGAGAGTCAAGTCTTTTATGGGATAGGTTTCTTGGTTCAAGAAGTCACATAAAGGCATACTCACTTTGATTTTAATTGATGACATGTATGTGCATGCTTAAATATTTTCTGGGGTAGAGGGACTGTATATACAGCTATTGTTTCAGCAATATAAAGTTGATATGTGTTTCTCTAATGCAAGTATCTTTGTGTGACAGCACTACTGGGTGAATATAAGTAATTCAGTTATGTTTATGATCAGAACCAGCTGACTTAAATGTAAGGCAATTGTAGAAATTGGCTCATCTTCTGTTTTCAAAGAATGAAATGTGATGAATAGTTATGTTACTTTCTGAAAACACTTTCTGGTTAAAAGAAACCCTTTCCTTGATCCCATTTCAAGGCTGTGCTTTCAGTCATTGACAGCAGGGAAATGGGTCCAACAGAAATCTATTAATTTTTCACGGTAATTTTTTAAGAAAAATTTTAAAGTGTGTTTACATTTAACTTTATTGTAGTTATCCCTGTTGCTGTTTAGTTTTCAGAGAGCTACTGTTTCTTACATGCTCTGTTCTTTAGTGCGGCTGAGGTCTATTTCATCTAAGTGGAAATATTTCAAGTAGGTCAAATTATAATAACCCACCAAGGGCTTATACCCTGGAATACCAGTACCATAAGTAACTTAGAGCTGAAAGGGACTATCACAACACATTACCTTTGCTAATGCATACACAGAATTGTAGGAGTGAGGCTTTGATGACTGAAAGCATTAGAGCTGCTTGTGCCCTGCTAACCTAAGCAGTATATTACATCATTAATAGTGTTTCATTGCTTGAATTAAAAAAAAATCATTTTTAATTCATTGCTTGGATTAAAAAAATGCTGAGACCGTTTTCTCAGATTTGACAGGCTGAGTGTTAATATTCAGGATATGGTCTTCTTTCATTAGGGCATTGTATCGTTGTGTTTACTATTTGAGACTCTTCTACAAACCCACCTGCCTCAGCTCTTTTATCACCTTCGAGAAATTGGGGCTCAGCCGTGAGTATTTCCTTCTGACTTCCTAGAAACGTTGCAGATTCATTGTTCTGAAAATGCTGTTCTGTGGTATTCTAATTTAAAAGATATGGGAAATTACTCAAAAGGGCAAACATCAATGTGCCATTTTTTCTTGAAAATCAGTTGGAGTCCTTTGCTATCCCGCATATGTGTGCTTTGTGCATTTCTTTTGTATGTTCTGCGAAAAAGAGGGGAGAATTACTCTGTGAGAAATTCTGCATTATTCAGCTAAGTTTGTTATTCATGTCAGTTCTGATGGAACTAAATGATTTATTTCCTGGGGGACAGGAAATGCAGAGAAATGTTAGTTAGAGCAGAAGCTACTGGAAGGGGAAAGAGAGGGAGAGGCTGTCATTCTGTAGTGTTCTCATGGCACCAAGTGCAATAAAACCTGAAAATCTTGCTGTTATAATTGTATCCATCATAATAGCAGAAAGGATAAAACACTGGGGGTGATAACAGCTGAGAATTCCTCTAATGTGATTGTTTGGTCAGAATGTTTCATGATATTAGTACTGATGGCTATTGAGGATGAAAATATTGATTATTAATGCAGCAAGAGAAAACTGCTATTCTTCCTGGAAGAGAAATGCAGAAGAACAGTGAAATATTTTCAATTTATAGAGAATCCGTCTGATCATTATGGGAGACAGAAATATAATAACTGTTGTTTTTCACTTGTTTGCAGGCTACGGATTTCATTTAAATGGATGGTACGAGCATTTTCTGGTTATTTAGCTACAGATCAACTCTTGCTTCTGTGGGACAGAATCCTGGGATACAACTCTTTAGAAGTTCTTGCTGGTAATAGAAATAATTTTACAAAACACACTAAGTCTAGATGTACTTATTTTTTATAAAGGAAATAATGACCTGAGATTTATGCAAGGTTTAAGATGGGGGTTCTAAAGAAGACATATATCTTCAGTTGGGTCAGTTTTTAAGCATGAAGTAGGTGAATAGAAGAGTAAAGGTTTTGGTTCCATTTGTATGTATGAGACAGCTATGTGGAGAGCTATAATTATATAAGATCACATAAGATAAATGAACATTTTTTTTCATGTTATATAAAATCCACAACTGAAATACTGCTATTTAAATAAATTAACATTATTGGCTTAGAAATGAGTGACTTGTAAATCCCTTTATCCCTTTTAATTAAAAGCTTGTCATCTTAAACTAAAGTATTTTCATGCAGATTTCTGAAAGAATGTTGTGTTTTTCTGATCCATTTCGAAGAGTGGCCAAAGAAACTGTGTGATTCTTCAGAATCAAAGTAGATACTCTGAGGGAGTGAGAACTGGTATTTTACATCGAGATTATTTCTAACCACTAATTGACAGGTCAGCAACTTAAATATTGAGCATTTTCTTTCAGTCCTGGCAGCTGCTGTGTTTGCTTTCCGAGCAGTCAACCTGATGGAGGTGACATCACTGGCTGCAGCTGAAGTAAGGATAAGTTTCAGTTAGAGAAGATTGAAATAGTTTCTGAGGCTTTGCCAACAAGAGTAATTTAAGCTTCCTGTGGCACGTGGTATATGGTGTAAATCTTTCTGCCTAAATTCTTACTTTAGATAAAAAAATAAGGAAATTGTAAACATGCAGGACATAATACTGCTTTTCTGGAGTAAAAGGAAATAAAAGGGTGTATTTGCTACAAAAATGCAGTTATCAAGTTATTTTCTATAATTAGATTTTTTTTTTTCTTTTAAAATATATATTCTGTGTGGGATATATTGTTTTTAAAATGTTGTAGAGATTTGTACCTTCTCTCAGACGGTTTTGACATAGTTGCTTCTATACTTTTTGGTACTACAAAGATTTTACAAGATTACTTTTGTCAATACGGAATCTGAAATTTCGCTGTGAGTAGTGTCATGGGAAATGAAAATTAAGTCATTAAGATGAAGATTATTAATTTTTATATTTTAACAAATTACTAGAGATTTTCTTTTTCAAAAATCTGGTGATGTATTTCTTTCAAACTTGGAGATCTTGTGTGACTCTCTTTTTTTGATAAACATACTTTCATGAGAAGACATTGACTATTTGAGTCATTACATTGGACTTACTTCACAAGTACTAGCCAAGCCACAGGATAAGGATTCTTAATTCCCAATTATTTTTAGAAGCAAGTTGAAATGTTAGACCCCTTATTCACCCCTGATGCCATGTATATTTGAAGTAAGGCTAAAGGCTAAAATGAAGTTACTTCATACTTACGTACATAAACAAATGCTTTTCCTTTGAAATATTAGAATGAAAAACAATACAATAAGGCCCTAACATAGAACAGCGTAATTTGTTTCTAGCCATGTCTGAATCTAATTATTGTTCATGTTGTGGTCAGTGTTTGAATCTTTTTCTGACTTCCTGACTTGCTTGAAAGAAATTTGATTCAAATGTCAAGTTTAACAAGCCTTTTTGGTTTTTATCCTAGGCCGTACTTGCTGACCTTTCGACCCTGAAAGTTATGCCTCTTCTTCAAATCTTTTTGTTTGCTACCGTCACTTGATCTGCTTCAACAATACTAGCAGCACAATTCCAGTCTTTCTTGAGAAGCTACTCATCAACTATGCAATGTCTGCATAAAACCAAAATAAAACTGTATGATATTAATTTAGAAGTCATGACCTTAAAATTTTCTGACTGAAAATTAATACCTTTGCATACGAATGTGTGCAGTGCATGCTACTGAATTTCACCCTGACAGCAATGGTTCTTACTTGTACACTGAGAATGACTACTTGTGCAAATAATATGAATCAGTGTCTGAAATGCATGTAATACTAAATTAAATAAAGCAAATGTAATTCGTGGTCTGAGGTTTGTGATATTAATGTTGGAGCTCTTAATACGAAATGACTTTTTCAAGCTCACAGCTTAGAGGATGTCAGCTCAAATAGTGTCCACTGAGGAGGTAAAGATACTTTAACTTGCAACATTTTTTTTCTCTCGTTTTCTAAGAAAAAGATAGGATTGTACATCAGTTCTGCTGTCTCTATCTTATCTAATCTCTTCGCAGAGATTTCCTCCTGGTTCTTTCTCATGTTAGCTGCTTCCGGTTATTCTTCCAATACATGGAGACGTAGGCACGCGTTCCCGTTCCTGGGCAGTGTAGGCACACAGCTCTCTCGGGCGTCTTCTAAACGCCTACCCAGAGTCCAATCAAAGGCCCCGTGTTGTAAAATATGTTCCCCTGGAGAGAAGGCCCCAGTGTAGCTTCCTTCAGAACTTGTTGGAGCTGGTCCTCACACGAGCCAAATTATTCCCCTGAGAGCCATGCCAAGAGTCCTTTCGCTGGGCCCCACACCCTTTTTGGGAGAGCAGTGCAACGCCTTTGCCAGCTTTCCAGCCTCTGATTCAGCGGCTCAGGCTTCAGTTCAGAATCCAAACTCCTATCGATGTGTGGCGGATTGTCACTACGCTGTCAGGCTGGGTCATCGTCTGTTTGCGATCGTACCTTTTTGTGAGGTCTTCTGGCTTTTTTTCACTGATTTGTTTAATACCAAAGTTGGAATCAATAATCTGATTTGATTAAGTCTGGTGTAATACCTGAGAAAGGATCAAAGTCAAGAGACCGTCATGGGTAACGTAGCCACTGCGTTCGCCGTAGGACTTTAGTCTTCACTGAGTTTGTATACATGTAGTTGTCATCGTTTGTCATACGTACCGATTGTATGACAGTGACACGTGAATCCTTCATCGTTCACTCAAAAGTTGTCCGAAACGTGATCTCAGTTGTAATCTCAGGGTTATGAGCTTTATGTCTGTGATTCTTGTTGTCTCTGTCAGGATAATGTAGTAAGAAACTTACTGAACTGCTGGCAAATGTACAAGTCTAATTTTAAAAAAGGTAAAGTTGTGGACTCAGTATGATCACTTGGTGTATAAAGTCCCCAACTGCTTAACAGGTAAGACTTACTGAATGAGAATGTTTTGGGAAATTTTGTTCTGGATAGCAAAGAAAATTCATCTTTTCTTAATAATTACAAGAAACTGCTTTAACTAGAGGCTTTTGTGTGACATGTAGTTTTTCTAAAAGAGGACACGTGATAGCTTTTGTCTCTACAGCAAGTATTAACCTGTTTTATGTATGGGTAATAGAAGCATAGAAAGATTAAGTGATTTGCTAAAGATTACAGAGTAAATTCCTGGAAGAGGTGAGCAGTCTCTCCTCTCCTGAATTCCTGTTTATACGTAGGATGTTCAGTTTGTGTATTAACCACAAAACCTTGTTTTATCTCCAAAGCAACGTGTAGTGTGCATCTACCTCTAAAAATGCAGCATTCTGCAATTTGGAAAATCTGTTAAGATTGGGCAGCAATTTAGAAATTACAATGTTACAAAGCAGTCACAAGGGTTTTGGCTCAGTAAGGTCATTACAAGGTTACCATGGCTTTTAGGGAATTAAAAGTATTTAGTAAATAGCAAGGGAGATTCCCTAGAGGCCTGCTGACCCTCTAATGCCCATTGCTCTGTGCAAGTACGTGGTGCAGAATCTGAACATTACCCTAACCCATTCCATATTGGGATTTTTGAGCGGTATTTTTTTCTCTTTTTTTTTTTTTTTTAGTGATATAAGTAGGCAGAGATTGTTGGGTCCTTGTCTGAACAAGGAAGTCTGTGACTAATAGGACGTGGTCTGTTTTCCTCTGACTTGGCATCTCGTTATTCATCCGAACAACCTCCCATCTCCCTCGTGTCCCCTCTGCCATCCCCACCAGAGAACTTGAACTCCCCTTCCTGTTTCTCGTGATGGCTGGATGGGGGGACCCCACGCTGTGAGGCTGGTGTGGACCAACCCGCCCCTTGGGTTAGGCTGCTCCCACTGCCTGCCCGGTGAGCCGGGGGGATGCTGTCTCCTGCTGCAGGGTTGGCCAAAGGCCTCACATTTCTTGTTTTAGTTCCAGCAAAATACTGTGTTTCAGATTCTGACTGATACTTGTATTTTTTAATCTCCTTTGCTTAAATAACACTAATTTCTTTTTTTTTTAATATGAAAATGACTGGTTTCTATCTTAAGGCTGGATACTTCTCTTGTGTATGTCAGTAGTATCAATTATTTAAGTCCTAACTTTTTAATTTTGGAGACCCGTTCAAACCTGTTGATATCCATGGTCTATCATCTGCCTTCCAGATTCCTATAACTCCTTTTTTATTATTGCTGTTTTAAGTAAGGGCCAGATTTTGATAGTAGAATCATATCTAAATTGATAATTGCATTGACTTAAAAAGTCTCAGCTGAACCTTTGAGGGGTCAGTTTAGCCAAATTGTTTTTCTTGGTCTGTTCCTCCCTATCTGAAATCAACATAAACAGACATTTCAGTACAAGAACCAATTATCTCCATATTTATAGATAAAGATCAATTTTTTGCTGCTTACCTTAGGATTCTGGCTATGGCCTTTCAAATCTTTCTTGTAATGTCAAACAGACTATTTAAAAACTGCAAAAGTAAATATGCTTGTCTAAAAATGAATGCGAGTTATCTTCATTCAGTACTTCCAAAAATATATTGAAACTTAAATCTTGATGGCTGGGTAATGGAACAATTGAATAACTAGAACAGTTTCTACTTTTCAGTGGATTTTTTTTGTTATAGTAACAAATGTTATTATGAGAAGTTGAGAGAATATGGAGATGGTAAATTGGATATCTCAGTAAGAGAAAATGGTGGGAAAAGACCCCAGTTTAAGACATATTTCTACATGTTACCAGAAACCAGCCAAAAAAATATGCCTTTTTACTGTCTTCTAATGAATATTGTAAAACTCTTCCAATAAGACTGAAGGGATTTCATTTAAAAAGAATTGCCATATAAAGATCAGTTAGGCGAAAGCAACTTAGTGAGCCGTTTATGAACACTAAGTGTTGATTTAAAAGATACTGAAATATGTACCTCTGGCGAGGAAGGGGAAGAGCCTTTTGACATATTTTAACAGATCGGTAAAATATTCTGTCCTGTGTTTTGGAATGTGAGGAAACAGCAGGGGGAGGGAGGGGAGGATGCAGCCGGAGCTGCTGGGCTCTTCCTTTTCCCTCCTTTCCCAAAGGCCCTTCCCATCCATTCCTGGCTGCTGGCAGGCCCTGCTGCTCCGGCTGCTTTCATCCCCAGCGCCCGCACAGGAAAGGCAATCAGCTGAAGAGCGTGGTTGAGATCAACAGAGCTTTGTGTTTTGTACGGCCAGCTACCGCCGGCTTCCTCCCGCCCCGAAAAGCTTGCTTGGGTGTACAGTTATGGGGCTGGGGACTGTGGCATGGCCAGGGCCGGGGCCGCGGGGGATGTCCGGCCTTCCTGGCCTCCTGGGCAGCAGCAGCAGGAGAAACCACCCCTGCGAACAACTGCCCCTCTGGGCAGCCATGGTCAGGAGCCCGGGCTTCAGAAGCGCTGAAGGACAATTGTGGTGGAGTGGTTTGATGTGGTGTTCGGGTCTGATTTTTTTGGTTTGTGGGTTGGTTTTTTTGTTTTGGTTTGGTTTGGTTTTCTTTTGGCTTTTAGGACCCAGTAGAATTAGTCTCGAGAAAAGACAAGGCAGAAAGAACCGTGCCTTGCCAATACCGCCTAAGGAGACTTTCCACTGTGCCTTTTGCAGCCGGACTTGACTACCCCGCATCGGCCTTTTTAGCCATCAGCGTGCTTGTAGCAAGTGTGGGTAGAGCCCTTCCCATATCTTCGTTTGCGAAGCCCAGCCATGATGATGAGGAGGACCCAGTACAGGAGGGAAAAAATACTCCTTTTGGAGGCTTCAGGCTTTTAGCACAAGGCTGTGCTTGTTGTGAGAGACTTGCACGTCTGTGAGCAGTTCCATGAGAGCTATTCATCGTAGAAAACAACCATAGAATAGTCTGAAATCTCTGGAATCCAGGCTAAGCCGTGCCGCTAATTGAAGTCACTGAATTTTGTTTCCTGCACACCTCACGCTCAGCTTTTTCAATACCTTAACCAAACTGTTAATGGGAAGATCGTTTTGATCCAGTGGTCTTACAGTTGTGCTCAGCTTTAAAACGGTGTTAAAACATCCCATGTTAGTATGTTTTTAATTAGGCAGTTACTAGTATACCTACCAAATGATGGCCATACAGGCAAATTATACTTCTGAGAAGCACCTGGGGATACTTGTGCCTTTTGCAGATGCCATACAGTGCAACAGAAGACGGCAGATGTTAGTGGGGATAGAATGAATATGAGTCAAATAGGATGTTCATCTTGGGCTCCCCACACTCTGTAAGACTGCAAGACATAAAGGATCGTAACGCTAAATACTGATGGGGGATCAGCCTTAAATTAATGCAGAGGGAGAAATATTGCTTTTTGGCAAACCTTTTTTTTCGAGTCTTTATTTAAGCCCAGGGAATTTCACTTGATTCTCTGTATAGCCAGACATCGCTGATCAGAGCAGATGAATTTCAGGTTCTCTGAAGGAGAAGGTAGTGGGGCCCCTATTTGCTGGTATTTCAAAATGAGTGTGTTGTTCTTGATGTTGGACTGCTGATATGTGTGAACGATTATCCCTAGAGAATTTGCTTTATGGAGGACCATGGTGCTTTGCCAAATGACATTATGTTTGGCTGAAGAGTTTGAACAAATTGTTTCTTTTGGGATTATGACCAAAATAAATGGAATATTTAACAAAAGAGTTTAAGCTCACAGTTTGTGCAAGACAAAGCATGCGACCAGTTTCTGTGCTTTGTTTTAAACAAAAGTCTGTATGATGTTGCTAAGAGACAAATTGGAATTTGATAGTCAAAGACAAAATATTATGTTATAGCCACATAATATGTTTTAGTAAGTATCTGGTAGTTCATTTTATTC